TCACCGATGCTCATCCTGTACCCTGCTGGGTAGGATACGGGGAGGGGCTGTCAGAGGCAGGGCCCAAACTTGGCCTGAGCAGCTGGTTTGTGCTCTGTGGCACGGGCTCCCACACACCTTCCTGCCGGGGGGCTGAGGGCGCTGTGACATTTACTTAGCCACAGATGCAGGGAGGGGGAGTCTTGGTGGCCCGAGGGTTACAGGTTGGTCTGTGATCTGCAGGGACAGCAGTTTGAAAACACTAGCCACTGCCCCCAGGAGCGAGACGGGGCTGTTTGCTCCTGTAAAGAGCTCCAGTCTGGGAAGCCCACAGGGGTAGTTCTACCCTCTTCTATAGGGTCACATCAACTCGATGACAGTTTTTGTTGTGTTTGGAGGTGGGGGAGTGTTGGGGACAAGCGGTCCTTGTGTGGTGAGGTAGCAGTAGCTTCTGGTGACAGGCACGATTCTGGGCCAGGTTATCCAACCTGGGTTAGCAGCCCAGTGACCGCACGGCCCTGCTTCTTCAGGTATGAAGTTCTTGTACCCTGTAAATACCGAGTGAGCGCCCACAGTAACGACAGAGCAGAACTGCAGGCCCTGCCGTGGCCGAGCTTCTGGTCCACTAGAGCAGGCAGAGTGGGAGGCACAGACAGTGGTCTCCTTTCTGTACTGGGGCCAGGAGCCCCAGGGGTGACACACTTGTTTGCTAGCTGAAAGGCCGGCAGTTTGAACCCACCAACAGGAGAACAGGCCTGGGCCTCTGTGCCTGTTTCAGCCTGTGGAGCATCTCTGCCCTGTCACGCTGGGCCTGAGGGCTGTGGGTGTGGCTCGGGTCCACGGTCTCAGTACCTCACGCTAGGCCTCACGCCAGGCACGGCCTCGGCCCCTCCCAGAGCCAGACCAGACAGGAACCTGCTGCTGTCCCGTCGGTTGACTTCCCCACTCCGTGTGCTGCAGGCCGGCCGTTCCGTTAAGTGTTCCTGGGGCTACACTCGGTGGCCAGGCCTTTCTTCCGCCACACGGCTGGCTGAATTTGTGGTACCAGCCTTTTGGTTCATAGCCAGGGACAGGCCACACGCCACCCAGAGGCTTGAGCCAGCTGGTGTCCCTGGCTCCTCCGAGTCCCACCAATGAACTCTAGCGTGGGTTTCCAACGAGGGCAGCTCACGTCTGCTGGGACAATGGGAGGGTGAAGGTGATCTTGGCATGGAGAGCAGTGAAGCTGCAGTGCTGGTGACCGTGCTGGGTGCCACACACTTCACCCACATCCCTGTCCAGGCCTCCAGCGTGAGTTACTTTCCTATAGGAAGGGAAGAGGCAAGCTCAGGGATGGGGCATGACGTGGGGCACAGAATGGGCGCAGTTGGGATGGTGACAATGAGATCAAGTGATACATCGTGATGGATGCGCCTGCCCCGGGCTTGGTCCGCACACCATCCATGCTTTACCTCGTGACCCCTTCATCTGTTACATTTGTTTGGGTGCCGTGCCACCACTCCAGCAGGCCCCTGCCTTCTTTCTTACCCCGCACAAAACTTCTGCCTCAGTCACCCATTGCTGGTTTTCCCCCCATTCCCGTGCAGCAGGCGCCCACTTGTGGCCCCTTCTCTCCCCCCTCCCCTGCGGGCCATGGAGCTGCCTCCCAGGCGTGGCACCCACCCTAGGCCCTGTCTTCTCTTCCAGGCCTACCTCGGTCTCGGAGCCAGACGTGCCTGCCTGAGCTGCTGCGCTTCCTGGGCCAGAACGTGCACGCCAGGAAGAATAAGAACGTTGACATCCTCTGGCAAGCTGCTGAGGTACTGGCGAGAGGGCGAGGATGTTTGTTCTTGCTGTGCCCGCTGCCCGAGTCGTGAAGGACCCGCATCTAAGCCGGGGAAGGGGCGCAGATTTCTCCATGGGGGCACCAAGAGAGGCCACTGGAAGAGGTTGGGTTCTGAGACTCTGGAAGACCGAAAGCTGTCTTTGAGTGTATCACTTGAGGGCCGCCTGAATTCTGATACACGTGACATATGTGTGTGTGTGTGTGTGTGTGGGGGGGGGATCCAAAAGTTCCTGGGGAAGGGAATTAAGAGATACTGGAATTTTCCTCCACACTCGTAGAGCGTGTCCCCTGGGGCACTGAACAGTCAGGGTAGGGACAGTTGCCACCTTCAGAAGCCTCCGCGAGCTGCAGCCGCCATGCTGCTGGCTCCAGACCTCAGCAGCCCCCTGAAGCCGGAGCTGAACCTTGTCCCGTGGGGCTCTGTCCATGTACAGTTTTCAGAGGCTGGTCACCAGGCCTTTCTGCTGAGGCACCGTTTGGTTAGCACCGTTCAGGCACTCCACAGTGGGCACCAGGTAAAACCCTCTGCCTACTGAGTCTGTATGGAATCACAGGAAGAGCGTCATCGGGTGCCATCGAAGTTGGTCCGACCCACACTGGCCCTACGCATCATGGAAGGAAACACGGCCCAGTCCTGCGCCCTCCTCACAACTGGGCCTGGGCCCACTGTGGCCGCCACGGTGTCGTCCATCTCAAGGGCCTTCCTCTCTCGTTGCCCTCCACTTTACCAAGCACGGTGCCTTCCAGGGACTGGTCTTTCCTGACGACGGGTCTACCGTCTTGCCATCCTTGCGTCTAAGGAGCATGGCGGCCGTACTTCTTCCAAGATAAATTGTCTTTTAGGCACTCCGCAGTACTGTCAGTATTCTTTGCCAGAACGACCCATCTTTGCCCGTTTAAAACTTCTTAGACATTTTTCTTAAACGTCACAGCTCTGATGTTTTGACTTTGCTCGAGTACTTCCCTTTTAGATGTTTTCTCAAACACCTGTGAGTGGGAGTTAAGTCCCTCTTGTGAGACTGGCCAGCAGAGCGGTCTCAGCCACCTCCTCGCCCCAGATGGCCGCCTACTTCCCTGCCTGGCCCCGAGGAGAGGGCGAGTCAGGCGGACACACGCAGACCTCTGCGGCCCCCAGGGCCGGGAACCGGAGGGGGCTGGCTGCGGTTGTCACAGAGCTGAAGGGCCTGAAGTTTGTGAGGGGGGCTCCTGACGAGTGTCTCTCACACTGCAGCCTGGTCCTCAGCAAACAAAGCACCTCCGCTGGCAGAGCTGCTTCAGACGAGCCAGGGTGCCAACACCTTTCCCATGAAGTCTCTCTTCAAGGGTGCCCTTGTTCATGGGTGCTGCTGCTGCATCCTTTTTGCTCGATTAAGCTTTAAATGAACCCCTTTCTCCTCCCCCCTCAAGTGCCCAGCTGGTAACACTTTCTACTCATGCAGGGCATGGGCTGAGACCCCACTGGGCGAGGCTGCCCATTCTGTCACTGAATTACAACGGAGCACGTCTTAAAGTGCCCGGTGACAGAAAAGCTCACCTTTCAGACACCGTCTTCTCAGTTCTGTGGCCTCGTCCTGCGTTGCTTGTTCAGGCCAGAGCCAGTAGGGTGTGGAGTGGGGTGCTGCTCTGCGGGCAGAAGGCCCTCCTCGGTCCCTTGCTGCTGCTTTCCTGGGGCTGTGGAAGCAAAGTCTCCGTGGTATGGGCTGGCCTGCAGAGATGGCACTGAGCCCGGGGCTCTGGGCGACTTCACACCGGGCAAGCCTGTCGGGTGTCCCTCACCCCAGGACACAGCAAGGCCAGCGGTGGCACCACAGGGAGCCTGGAGGCGCCTCTTAAGTGCACACAGCCAGCCTTAGGGAACCAGGGTCACAGATGCGCGCACTGCTGTTTTCGGTTGCTAAGGGATAGGAAGGAGCCCTGGTGGCAGAGTGGTTATGAGTTCGGCTGCCAACTGCAATCAGCAGTTCGAAACTAGCAGCCACTGCAGGGGAAAAAAGACGAGGCTTTGCATGCCCATGAAGAGTTACAGTCTCAGAAACCCAAAGGGACAGTTCTACCCTGCCCTTTCAAGTCAGAGTTGGAACTGACTCGATGGCCATGAGTTTTTGAGTCTAGGTGATAAGAAAACCGTTTATTACAGAGATGATTGGCCGTTCTCTGTAGGCAGGTTCAAAATGCAGCCTCAGAAGCCCCTTCATTTGCTGTCCCCCACGCTGTCTGGACATGGAGCTGGGTAGAGGGGCAGCAGTAGTGAAAGCAGTAGCACAGGGCGCCGAGCCCACTGTGGGCCTTTCTCCTTCCCGCCAACACGGTGCCTCCCTGTTGTAGATCTGCCGCCGCCTTAACGGAGTCCGGTTCACCAGTTGCAAGAGCGCCAAGGACCGCACGGCCATGTCGGTGACGCTGGAGCAGTGCCTGATCCTGCAGCACGAGCATGGCATGGCCCCGCAGGTCTTCACTCAGGCCCTGGAGTGCATGCGCAGGTGAGTCCGCTGCCATTGGCCCCGCCCCGTCCCCACCCCGTGTAAACTGCAGATGAGCCCGCTGCTCCTGGCACGTCACTTAGCCCCCAGAAGTCCATTCTCACTCGCTAGCTGACTTTGGCAAATTGGCCAGTGTGTACAAAGCCCCATGATTGGCACTATCAAATTGTGGCCCTGCTCTCTTTTAAGTCAAGGGAGAAAGACAAGTGTTCTCAGTCTTTACGATGGCCATAAGCCGTAAGTCGCTGGTGGGCCAGTGTAGGTGTCAGGAAGCCAAAAGAGGGACTTCAGGTCAGTTCCCAAAGGCTGGCCCTGTGGACGCTGTGCGGCAGGCACGGCGTTCCCTCGTCCTGGGTGTGGTCCGGGCCACAGCTGCATTAGCAGCATCCCTGTCCACGCCGGGCATGTAATTTCCTGGCTGATGAAGAACACGCGTCTGCAGGTTGCACTGGTTGTCCCGCTTCTCCTAGCCTTGGAAACAGTTGCTTTTCTGAGCAAAGTGTCAAAATGAGTGTTTTATGGTAACAGCAGCCAGCACCCCCACCCGCCTTCCCACCTGTCAGTGTTGCCATGGCGACCTCACCCTAATGATGTTGATTCTGAGGCAGCAGGTGTGTTTGCAGCTCCAACCCGAAACTAAAAACTCTGTTTACTGTTGACCAATGCCTTGTTCCAAGCACTGCTGGGAAGCGTCCACCTCACATACCAAAAGAAAGGATAAGAAGCCTGGTTTGCCCGTCTCCTTCAATGTAGTCCACCAATGCTGTTAGTCTCGTTTCCAACGGTCACTTCTACTGAATGTTCTGTGCCATTTGTCCTCTCACCAAATTCTCTGGAGTGTTCAATTCTCTTATCCTTTCTGTATGTTTCCGCTTTGACCTTCTCACATCCGTGCACACAGCAACAGCTACATGCAAGCCCCTGCCTCTTGATTGTCATACAGTAAACCTGGACTCAAGTGGGTTCCCCCGCCCCTATGTTCACGCTCGAGGCCACTAACTTATGTCCTTAAAGGGAACTCCCCTCCCCTCCCTTACCTTTAGCCTCAGGGACGCCTGTCCTCTGAGCTGTGTGAGAATCCTCTTCAAAGGAAGTTCAGAGAGCCAGCTGTGTAAAGACCTGTCCTCCGAGGGCCTTGGTGCACCTCAGGCCCAGGTGTGGACCCGGCTTCTTCGCCAGGCGGTTCTGGCGGTGCGGATCAGCAGAGGTGACAGTGCCAGGCTTTGGCGGCCTTGGACCCTGAGGTATCAGTCAGCAAGGTTGTGGGAGGGGCTACTCTAGTGAACCACCGATTCAGGTTGTGACCTCAGCGAGGATTTGGTTTGGAAGTGACATGCACAGTCTTGTGTAGCCACAATGAACCAGCAGACTGCCCTAGCCAGGACAGATGATGATGTCCTATATGGCATGGAAAGTGGCCCGTCAGAATGATGCCCATCTCCCAGGCTTCTGAGCTCAGCAGGGGAGACCCAGCCTTGGGAAGGCACCTGGGCCTCCTGTCTGACTCTCAGAGGAGATGGTTTGCTGGGACCTGGGACTGTGTCACTTGGGTGGGCATGGATAGAGGGCGTGGCTCCAGGCTCCATCTCACTCAGCACGTTTTCTCTGTGGCCCCACAGCAGGGAAACTCCAACTTCCCAGTTGCAACTACACACTGTTCCCTTGGTTGGATCCCATCCTTGGGGCTGTAAATACATGATTTGCAAAGTTGGAGGCACAGTAGCTCATGCCCTCCCACTCCATAGCCCGAACCCAGGACTCTGCATCTGGCTGACGCTTAAGGTAAACGGTCGTCATTCGTGTGGCGAATCAAGAGGCAGCGTTGGTACAGTCATTGGCACCCCTATCCCCAGGCATCTATCTGTGAGAAGGTCAAACACCCCCCACCACTCCCAATGGTTCTTCATGTTCAGCTTGCTTTCCAGAGACCCATGTCTTTGCAGCATGCGAGCATGGCAGGGCGCATGAGTTGTGCTTGGTCAACTGAGAGAGAGTGAACATGGAAAACCATTTATTCAACCTACATGTGTTTATTTTTAGTAGACTACAGTATTTTTTCTTATTTTCACTTCTCTTTCTCTCTTTTTTCTTTCCTTGTAACTGTTTTGGTATTCCTTCCACATCCCTTTCTGCATCTCATCTTTTCTTTCTGTTGTGGCTTCATTCCATTTTTTTTTTAATCTTGTTTTTTGGATTGACATCCTCTTATTTTTCCCTCCACACCTTTTCGTAAAAATCCATCGCATGTTTTTCTGTTATTTTTTTCTTTGTTTGTTTTCCTACCCTTCCTTTTTTCTTTTCCTTTCTCCCGAACTTTCTCCTTTTCACAGCATTGGAACACGGGAGGTAGTCACCCAGAAGAACTTGAGCGGCCTGGTGCCCATCCGAGACTTAAGACTAGATCCCAGCCTCCTCTGTTCCATTCCTTTACTCGCTCTCAGCCCCAATTTACTGATTGTGTGGCTTTTCCTGAGCATAGCGTACCTGGTGGCCAAATTGCGTTGCAAATGAATGGCATTATGAAAAACAATTAATAACCAGTTACAAGAAAAAAAAGTGCCAGAATATTGTCTAGCCACCGTGGACAGAAGGAATGTGTCAAAGCGTGATCTGCCAAGAACATATCATGCCTTACAGTTTGGCGTTTTGTTGTTCGGAACTGTAAATACCCGGCCAAATTATCTCACCAAGAGGATGCGTTCATGTAAATCCTGCAGCATTTTCAGTGCTTGTCACATGTCCCGTTACTGCATAATGCCGCTGGCCTGGAGATACATTACTTGTATCGACCCTCTGACCTTCTGATGTAAAACGTATTTACTACCTGTATTATTTCACGTGCCCTGTTCCCAGAGAAAGGAATTCTGTCTGGGAGGAATTTGTATATTGGATAATGTCCTTTCAATGTACTGCTAACCTTTTTCCTTTCCTTTCCAAAGTAAGTGAGAAGCAAAAGAGAGCTGCTGTATCACTGCCTCATCTAGATAAGCCTATCCAATAGGACAGGTCCTTTCTGCTTTCAGCTCAAAGCGGGGTTCCCCTAATTACTGTAGCAAACCATTTGCAGAGTTCTGACAGGCCTTACCTCCTGTTTAAAGTTTTCAGTTTGGGATGACACAGAGAAGTCAGGCACACCAAGCCAGTGCATTGCATGCGGCCTTAGATTCACTCTTTTTTTAAAGCTTAAGGTTCGCAAAACTGATTCCAGGAATTGACGCATAGTCACAAAAAGCTGTTCAGTTTACATACTGATTTTCGTGGAAATAGCATTTTCCATTAAAAAAATGCATCATTAGTTCTAGATTCAAGATCAGAAGTATTTTTCCCTGTTACTGATCAAAGATGGCTAGTAATGACAAAACTGTAGAAATGTTTACCAAAACACGAGGCCTGAATTTTATAGGTGATTATGCAGCTGGAGCTTTGCGTGTTAAGGGCCACTTTGTTTTCTGCTGTTATTACTCTCAGCTCTAAGATGGCTGGGCCCCCAAATCGGGATGTAACCTTAACAGTCACTTAGGGCATAAGGCTAATTGCGTACCTGTGAAGGTAACAATAAATCAGCAAGTTCTACAGACCCCATGGAAGTACTACTACTATATGGTTTCTCTGCTGTACAATTCAAATTAGTGGCACTGCTGTTTTCTCCCTCCAGCTGGTTCCCTACACACAGCATATTATGAAAGTGGATTTCTTCTCACCAGTCTAGAAAAATGGGGTGATGTTCGAGTATCTACTTTTTCCAGAAACTTACACTTAGGCGGCATGCACACAAAGCCCAGTCCACTACAAACTCTTACTTTGCCAGTCTCATTCTAGGCCATCAGAACTTACTCCAGAGTATGCGTGGGTTCTAGGAACCAACCATAGAAACAGTTAACAGTGAATGACCAACACCTCACTCAGTCCGAACCAGTGTTTCCCAGTGTGGGAGACACTGACCCCTAGGGGGCACTAGAATGATCCTGGAGGGCTGAAAGCAGATACCTACACTTTATCTTGGTTTATGGGCTACCAGACAGAGGCTTTTAATTACTGAGTTTCTTTTGTTTTGTTTTTTAAAGAGGGCAGTAGGCCAAATAAATTTGGAGACCTGTGGTCTAAATTCTATAACGAGAAGACTCTTCATCACATACTGGCTCACCCTTTCCTAGAAGCCCCTCTAGACCACGGCAGGCTCCCAGGGCAGGAGTTCCTGCTGCATCATGCTCGCAAGCGAATTCCCTCCCCTCACAAGTGCAGTGTGCCACTGTCCTTCCCAGAGTAAACAAGGTAGCTGCTCTGTGGCGCAGCCCCTGGCTTCCTTCCTCACCGAATGCCAACCAGAAGTTGTTTTAAGTTACTGCAACATGACAAGTCGTCACCAGACCAGAGGTCAGAAAACTTTTGAGATAGAAGAGCCAATCCTGTCCCTCACAACAATTAAAAAGTTCGAGAGCCATAAATATGTTTTTACAAACAAATGGAATCACCATTTTCTGATTAATATCCTTTGTTTTCAGCTTTACTTCAGAGACACATGTATGTATTAAAACGACCGCAGGTGGCTCGAGAGCTGCAGTCTGCCAGCCCTGCTCTAGATGCTGCCCATCCAGTCTGTGATGCTCTCAAAGGTGTGCTCACGGGGGCCATCCCCCCAGTTGAGGTGCACACTTGGGCTCTCCCAGGCCATCCTATTTACATTAATTCCAAGTGGGAAAGTAGATTCCTGGTGCACTTCTATTCCATAGCCTCACAGCCCCTCCCCGGGTGCCGCAGGGCTCCTGTCAGTCACTCTTTCTGGGTGCCAAGGAGGAGTGTGGCCAGGCAGCCTTTCTGACCACAAGGCCTTGCCTTCCCCATTTCCTTGGGGCCAAGGTGGCTCTGTGGCACTCTCTCCAGTCTCCTCCCAGAGGGCCATGGCTTCTAGCAAAGTCTGTGTGGTCTCAGAAAGCCCCCTCCTTGATTCTATGGCTGTTGGGCTGCCAGCCACACCTTCGTGTCCCTGTGGGGACTGGGCTGGAGGGGAGAGAATGGGAGGTTCTTTGTCTCTATGCTCTAGGGGCTGGGTTAGAAAGTTCCAGGCCTCCTAAGTACCCAGCCAAGGAAGACAAGAACTAGAAAGGACGTCATGAGCTCCTCAGGCAGGGTCGACTTGAGGGGGAACCAGGTAGAAGGCTGTGAGAGGCTGTGTTGTTTTTCCCTTTTAGAATAAATAAGAAAAGAAACCGAATGTGCTCTCCCTGTATGCTGTGCTGGCTTGCCATGTCACTAAGGCCTCTTCCTCATGAAGCCAAGCCAAGCTAAAATCATGTCTGCATGAGTGAGGGACAGGCAAATGAAACCCCAGTCGTGATGGCTTGAGAAAGCAGTCACCTGTCCTTCCGTGGTGGTGGTCTTCAGGATGCTTCCAAGGTAATAGTCAGCAGTACTGCCAGTGGCTGCCAACTCTAGATATTCAAGATGAAATAATCTGAGTTGAGATGACCTAATAAGGCTGTGAAATAGTTTTCAATGAGCACGACAGACAGTCACTATTTGCTCCTCTGGCTTGGCTTGAGTGGAGAGACAGGAGAGGTAGCCCTGCGCTCCTGCGCCTCAGATGGAATCACTAAGACTTCTGATCCCTGTGACCAGACGTCCTGATTTTGAACAATTTTCCCGCGTCCCGCAGCGTTTTTTAAAAGAATAAACTGAAATGGAAGTAGAATCTTAATGATGGTATAATTCATGAAATTGAAAATATCAGCCAGGAGAAAGAAGCATAAGCTTTTTTCTTATGCATGTTAAAGAAGCTAGGTAGACTTCACAAATTACTCTTCCTTGTTCTTTAAGGCAGGTTAGCACTTAGCTGCAAATGGTAGTGGCTTTGAGAAGTTTACACATTTCTGTATCACTGGAGAAGCCATATCAGAAATAGCCCATTCATGTAAAAGATCCCAAAGATTAAATAAGATAAGCCGTGTATAGGAACCTATAGTTTCTGCTGTAGAGGGCCCCAAAGTATCTAGCTCAGGTCCCCAAAGTATCTAACTCAGGTGACTCACACCTGGCTGAGAGCTTGGGTTGGGTAACAAGACAGCATGTCCCAGCTCCTGAATGAGTTACTAATAAGCAGGTGGACACTTTTGTGAATGACTGTGAGCTTTTCTTTTGAATAAAATTAGTCTTAGCAGAAAAATTTTACATATTCTTGATAATGAGATTTGTCATTTTTAGTTGAAAAAGGCGTGAACAATTGCTGAATTTTTTTTTAAAAAAAAAACAAACGCCTGACAAAGTTCTTAATATGATTTGAAAAAAAAACGTTTTTTAAAAAAAATCCGTTTCTTCGTAATTGCAAATTTTCCATCTCACAAAAGGGGATTTTGTAATAAATTTGATAACAAGTTGATTTCATTGCTAATCTTAGAATAAATATCACAGCTCTGGTGGCGTAGTGGTCACACATTGATTGGGCTGCCAATGGTAAGGTCAACAGTTTGAAACTGCTGTGGGAGAAAGGAGGCGCTCTACTCCCGGAAAGAGTTCATCTGGGAAACCTACAGGGGCAGTTTTACCGTGTCCCATAGGGTTGCCCTGAGTTGGAACAGACTCGGTGGCAGTGAGGGTTCTTTGAGAAGGCACGTAGTTGAAACTAGCCGTTGCCTGTTGGTATCATGCCTGCACCAGAACATTTTCCAGAGTGCTGCCCCGACCCGTATTTGGAATTCGAGGCCTGCCTGCTTGCTTGTCCATCCTCCTGGGTCAGCACTGGTGTTGGCCCTGGGTTACCATGGCAGCCCTCCATCTAATGCAGCTGGGACGTGCTTGTGGTGGGGCCCTTTGGGGCTGGCACCCATGGGCTCTTGCTGGCTGAGTCACAGGTGTGGGAAATGAACTCCCAAGAACTGCCACCCACACTTTGATGGGCCCAGTCTTCACACTGGGCAGAAGGGGCGGAACCTCTGGGCTGCTGTGCACCTGGAGCAGCGTCCCTCGGCGGAGAGGACATGGTAGCACAACCTCCTTGGCCGACAAGGTAAAGCAGCATCTCGAATTTGATGTGACCAGAGCTGTCGCTAACGGAGGAAAATGCGACCTCTTTAGAGGCTTGGTAAGAGTAGCAGTGTCTTTGTTCCCATGGGACTTGCTGCATCCCAGAGCCTCTGAGCGCTTGTTAGAGCAGATAATGGTGTTCCCCAGCTACACGAGACCACTCAACTCAGTGCTTGCTTCCACCTTGAGACGGTGCTGCTTTTGGAAATGCAGACACCAAACCGCTGCCGCCCATACAGCATGTGTCCATCTCTGTGCTGCTTCCTTCTGGCCACGCTCCGAAACCGCCACCCTCCCTGTGCTTCCTCCCTGTCCAGGAGCCTGGCACCCATTTAGATTAATTGACCTTTTCTTTTTTAATGCTATGAAAATAACCAATTCATTTCATCTTAGTTTTATGTCTTTTTTTCTTTTTCTTTTTTTCCTGCTGTCATTTCTTGTGCTTGTTTTTTCCCCAGTGAGGGTTGTCGGAGAGAAAATACAATGAAGAATGTTGGAAGTCGCAAATATGCGTTTAATTCCCTGCAGCTGAAGGCTTTCCCCAAGCATTACAGGCCTCCCGAAGGGACTTACGGCAAAGTTGAAACATGAACACCCGGTGTCCTCTCATTAGTGTTATAAAATCAATGTGGGTACCCTCTAGTGTCATAGATGAATTCTTCAAGATGGCCTGAAGGATTGGTTTATATTCTTGTGTTTTTAAACAATATTTCACAGAAGAGTCTATGGAGCATGGTTGGTTGGTTTTTTTCCCCCTCTCCCCCCACCATTGGAATCAATAGGAGGTAATGTTTGGCTCAATAGTTTGGATAGTAATGACTGCCCATTTAAATAGCCTTCAGCTATAACTACAGATACCACTGATAGTTATCTATAAGAATCAAGCTAGGTATGTCTGAAATGCTAGAAGACTTAAAAATGCCCATTTAGGCAGCTGCTCCCATACCATTTTTCTACGGAGGGACTTAGAATTCATTAAAGCATTCTCTTACAATCTACTTCTTAAACACATGACCGTAAAACAGTAAACAAGCTGTCGTTGGATCTGCGGTCGGAGGTGAGCGCCCGTTGTGGGGAGAGGGCAGCACACTGTCACAGTGAGAGCAAGGGCTCTAAGGAAGTATCCCGAAGTAAGAGTTGGCGTGCTGGTGTAGGTCCTCCTGAGATTAAGACTGCTCCGAGATAGCTGCCAGCCAGTGCACACAATTGGATCCACCCTTGTCCCCCCTCTGCTTACATACTCTTCAGAGCATCCCTGGCGTCCCCTCAGCCAGTGCAGTAAGGCCATTTTGTGCTCGCCTCCTGTTCTCGTGAGCATTGCCCTGTCTCGTTTCTACCATGCCCTTGGGCACGTTCCCCTTACTTCTCTGGACGCTGAGTTATTTCCACCCGTGACCTCAGGCCTGCCCGATGCCTCTCATCCAGCACTCAGTGGGGAACACATGCACGGACGGTGGGACCTGAACATCCACAGAACTTCACGTTCTTCTGTGGGATTTCCAAAAAGACAACACAATCACCCTCGGATGTCTGTTGAACGTGTCTTGTTTCCAGGTTGGCAGTAACTGTCACTCTCTTGTTCTGTGACATGATTGTTGAGAAAGTTGTCATTTTCTCGTGAGATTTTGAAAGGGATTTGTGGACCATAAAACTTAGGATTTATATATAAAGTCCCATCATCTTTAATAAGATGATGAATGTTATTTGCACATAGCAGAGCCCTCCTCCCCCACCCTCTTTAGGAGTTTATATCAATTGTTATGATTATAATGTTTACATCTTTCTTAAAAGGCTATAAAGAAATGTGTGATGTTGAACAATGAGCACCCTAGTTATTTATGAACTCCTCGGAAGTCTTATGTCTAAAGTTCTAGACCATATTACTTGGGCTTTTTTAGAATTGACGCCTTGCAATGTGTAAGACTCAGGCCTGGGGACCCTGACACACAGGCAGGGCCACCTTGGCAGGGATCTAGAAGGGGCATGCGCAGAAAAGGGGTCCCTTACCACACAGCAGGTAGTGTGCAAACATAGCAGGCTGCTTTCTGGTGCCTGCTGGGAGAGAAGTCCCAGGGCAGGGGAGGCATGTGAGGCTGATGTGGAAGACACAGCTCCGGCCCCTCCTTAGAGCCGGGGCCTGGTGGAGGGCAGGCACCGTGTGCCCACTAGGCCCTCTGCACAGATGGCAGCTGCTGGTGTCACAGTCTCCACTCAGAGGTAGCAGTTAAAGTTTGTGGTCAGTATGGCTGACTTAGCCTTTACCTCACCATCTTTTAAGTTGTAATTGTGCTAGTATGTCTCCCTTTTCATTGTTACCATCGCTACTTTTAAACTTTTTAATCGTAAAAATAATACCCACATTCCCTCCAGAATTACTGTTATTTGTTTGAAAAGCATTGAATATCTGTAGGGATATCAAAAGGGAAAATAGCAAATATGGACTCACTGGTGAACAGTTCTGCATGCGGCACCCTTCACGTGGTTTGCATTCTGGATCACCACAAAACGTAGAGAAGATCCGGCTGCTGTCTTCTGTCAGAGTGTTCTGGGATGTACCTCTCAGGTGGGAGCATCTGCTGTCAGCTGCACAGGGAGGCCAGTCTCACAGGCAACTGCCCATTAGAGGTTCTGAGGTTCTGCATAAGACACCCCCTATTTGAAGGGAAACGTTGACATGTAAAAAACAGGAATGTGACGCGGATCCGGGGAGAGGTCCACAGCACGGTTGCCTTCGGTTTCCTTGTAAATGTAAAAACGTGTATAATACAGCCCTGCCCCAATACAATTGTACTTGCCAAGCTTAGTGCATTAAACTCCTTTTTATTTATTTGTTTTGGACAGTATTAACATATATAAACAAATAGTTCCTGTTTTATATATTCTTAGCTCACTCAAAGCTATGTATGCTGTAAATGTGCTAGTATTTAGAATGGCAAATAATAAATAACAAGAACATCCAATGTGATCTCGCCTGATTCCTTCTGCCGAGGGTTTATGGCCAGCAATGGGTGGGACCCCCTCTGCGCTGGCCTGGACACTGAGTGCTCGTGTGCATTTGTCTGTAAGCAAGAGGCCAAAACAGGCCTCTGGATTCGAGTGTGTTCGCTTATCAGGAACAAGCGATGGGGTGGGGGTGGGACACGCGTGCTGCTAAGATCGAGGACTGCAGCCACCAGCGACTCAGGACCTGATCCAGTGCTGCTGTCCCAGTGTCAGCGAGCTGCCTGCAGCCTTTTGTTGCTATTCCTGATTACCAGGTGTGGGGAAGGGCGCGCCCACGGCGCTCAGGCTCCGTGGTGGTAAGGGTTCAGAGTGAATGCGAGCGGCCATCACTACCATACCATGCTCAGAATGCAGACGGTGTCCTCACCAGGCAGCCTGGCCAATCCCTATGGGCTGGCTGAAATGTAGGCCCATGCATGGTTCCACTGAGTGTCACAGCCGGGGCTGCAGCCTGCTCCATCGCACCACCTCCTTTGCACAGGTGCCTTGGATCAATTTCTGGCAGTGGAATTGGATAATGGAGCGTTGGTGTTTTGGTATTCCCAAAGTTCTCCCGAGAGACCTAAGCTGCCACCAGTGCAGCGCGTGCCTTTCCCCTTGATTCTCCACAACCCCAAGAGCAGATCATCAGTTTTGCATTCAACAGTCGATGCGCGTTTCGTTTCACCTCACTCACTGCAACCCCTTCACTGTGACATCCCGTATCCCATTTCCTCTCTGGGTTCCTACTCCCAGGCTTCCTCTCTTGACCTTCCTCAACTCTGTTCTCAGACAGTGCTGCCCTTTTGATTACAAATATTCTAAGGGGTGTGTGACTATTCCTCCTTGTAATCAAAACCCAAACCAAACTCGCTGGCCTCAAGGTGATGACCACTCAGCAACCCTACAGGGCTGGATCCAGCCAGGGCACAGTATAGCACCCATGAAACACAACACTCCCCTGGCTCCTTGAGGCTTCCTCACCCCCCACTATCATGACCCCAGTCCTGCCTTTCATTTTTGGGCTAGACCAGAGCATGTACAATGTACAAATGGCTACTCACGACACAAGGAATCCAGGTCAGATAAAGCCCTCAGGCCCAGAAATGGGAGTAGCAATACCAGGAGGGTAGGGGGAAGATGAGGAGAGGACGGGAACCGATCTCAATCATCAGCACATAACCTCACCCCCACACCCCAAGGAAACGAATAACAGAAACCATGGGGGAAGGGAGACAGTAGTCTGTGTAAGATATGAAAATAATATTAAGTTATAATTTATCCAGGGGTCATGAGGGGGGATGGGAGGGGGAAAAGAGCTGATAACAAGGGCTCAAATAGAAAATAAATGTTTAGAAAATAATGATGGCAACATATGTACAATATGCTTGAGACAATTGATGTTATAAGAGCCCTCAATAAAATGATCTTAAAATAAATAAAATTGGATATCTCCAAAAAAAGAAAAGAACATCATACATCAAAAAAGTAAATTCATTAAAAAGGCAGGAGACAAAAAAGACCAAAGGGGATGTCATAAGACTCTTGAAACTTGCTCTTGAATATATACTTGCTAAAACCAATGTGAGAAATTAAGTAGAAGAGCTGACCAGAAATTTTCAAAAGGCAACTTGAGAAGACAAAAATATTAAAATGTGCAGAGACCTGGAGTTAGAACACCAAGAAAAGAACACATTCAACATTAACTCAAACTTAAGGAACTGAAAATTTTAAGCTTCAAATTGTGATAGTAAAGAATTCCATAGGCAAAATGCTGAAAGCTTCAGTGGGCTTCAAAAGATGGAAGGAATATGGGCAGTCGCTGTAACAAAAAGCACTGGTTGACAGTCAACCATCTCAAGCAGCAGCATGGTGGTATCAGAGAAGCCCACCATGTGCTGAAGGCAGCAGCGAAAAACAAGGCTCCAGGAATCTATGGAGAACCAGCTGAAGTGTTCCACCAAGTGGACGCAGCACTAAAAGCACTCAGTAGTCTGTGCCAGGAAATGTGGACGGCAACTACCTAGCCACGTGACTGGAAGAGATCCACATAAGTATGCCCATTCCTGAGGTAAGGGACCCACCAGGTGTAGAGATTACCAAAAATATCATTAATATCGCATGCAAATAAAATATTGCTGAAGAGAATTCACAAACATTTGAATCAGTACATTGACAGAGCTGCCGGAAATTCAAAGCAGATCCACGGGAGTTGGAGGAGGGCTGCATTTGCAGATATCATATGGGTCGTGGCTGAAAGAAGAGAATAACCAGGAAAATGCTTGCTTGTATTTTATTGGCTATGCAAAGGCATTCAACTCTGTGGATCATGACAAATTATTAGTACCGAAGGCAAAAATGGGAATTCCAGAATACTTAACTGTGCTCATGTGAACCTGTGCATAGACCAAGAGTCAGTCATTCAAGCAGAACAAGGGGCTACTGAGTGATTTAAAATCAGGGAAGGTGTGTGTGTCGGGGTTGTATTCTCTCACCATACTTATTCAATCTGTATGCTGAGCAAATATGAGACACTGGACTATGTGAAGGGCATGGCATCATAATTGGAGGAAGGTTCATTAGCCACTTTAAATATGCAGATGATACAACTTTGCTTGCTGAAAGCCAAGAGTTAGAGCATTAATTGATGAAGATCAAAGAGTGTGGCCTTCAGTATGATTTATAACTCAATGTAAAGACGGCCAAGTTCCTCACAAATGGACCAATAGATGGCAACATGATAAAGGGAGAACAAAATGAAGGTGTAAAGATTTCACTTCACCACCATGCTCGGTGCTCATTTGTTGCACTGGGCAGACCTGCCTACGCTCTTTCAAGGGTGAGAGCGAAGATGTCACTTTGAGGGACCAAGACCTGAGCCTCGCCTTCTTTCCAGGCATTTTCACTCACCTCAAATGCATATGAAAGAAGGCCAATGGCTAAGGGAGCCCCGAGAAGAACTGTTGCATCTGAATGATGCAGGAGAAGGAAGTCCCATGACTGGTGCCAGGAGACAAATCTGTCTGCGAAAATGCCTCCGGAGTGCTCGTTAGAGGCAAGGACGGTGAGGCTTCATCTCGGCTGCAACAATGGGCTCCAGTGTCCGATGCTGCTGCAGACTCAGCCAGGGCTTCCTGTTTCACCGTGTCACTGTGAGTTGGAGTTGACGCAACGGCACCCAACAACAAATCCACACTATAGAAAGAACTGCTCCGTTCAACAATAAAGAGAGAACCCATTTGAAAATTAGGCAAAGGATGTGAATAGACATTTCTCCAGTGATATACAAATGGCTAGTAAGTACATGAAAACAGGCTCAATATTAGCCACTGGGAAATGGTCAAAATTCCAATGCGACACCACTCATACCTCGCTGTTACTGCCGTCGGCTGACTGGACGCTGGCAAGCCCGTGTGTGCGGAGGGAGTCGTTTTCAAGGCCGTGACCTTTGAAAGCAGGCTGTCAAGCCAGTCTTTTGAGGACCCTCTTGGTAGCTCTGAATTGCCAGTCTTGGCTCACGAGAGCACATCATCAGCTGCAATAGCCGAGGGCTCACACCCCGGAGGAAAGCAATCATCCATGGTACCAATCTCTACGTGACGACGCAGAGAAACGGAAACCTTCACTCACGGGAACGGAAGCTGGCGGGCTACTGTGGAAGTCTGGCAGTTGATCATAATGTGAACAGAGAAATGAAAAGTCCATGCAGACCTTGTACATGAATATTTTTAAGTCATAGGACTCGAAACCACCCGGAGCCCATCTCAACAGTGGAATGTCACTTGGCAATAAAAAGGAATGATGCCCTGATTCATACTGAACACATTATGGTGAAAGCCCAGTCATGAAAGATCACATATTGACTGCATTCACATGACATGTCTAGAAGCAGCAAATTCATACAAGCAGAGTAGGTAAGTGATCACCAGGGTGGATGGAGAAGGGGTTGGGAGTGACTGCTTAAAGGTTTAGGTTTCTGTTTGGGTAATAAAAAGGTGATAGTGGTAGTTACACCAATATGAGTATGGTTGAAGCTAGTTAATTTTTGTGTAGTGGATTACTTGGGCTGTTGGCCAGAAGGTCAGCCATTCAAACCCACCAGGCACAGGAGAAAAATGAGGCTTTCTGCTCCCGTAAAGATCTACAGCTTTGTAGATGAAATCCCAGGGCAGGTAGATCCATGAAGACACAGAGGCATGACAGGGAAGGATGGGGGGAAATGGACTACCAATGAGTGAGAGAACATGCTCTGACATTGTGGTACTGTTTAAATGATTAAATTGCACAGTTATGTGAAATACATGCCAATAAAACTTAAAAACAAAAACACTACATCCCTGGAAATGTGCGGGGGCAGTTCTGTGTCGTAGAGTTGTAGGGAGTCAGGATCAATTCACTGGCAGGGAGTTTGGAGTCTTGGTTATCATGGCATGGAAGTTATCTCTCAATAAAGCTGTTATTAAAAAAGGGTGCTATAAAATGCATTTCAGAGGCATTCTTATCAATGTTTCTTTTAATAAAAATAGCATTCAAACAGGTAAACAACGATTATTGAACACAATCACTCCCCACCCCCCTTACCAGTGAAAGATCGTGCAGACGACAAAGCTCGGAGACATTCGGCAGTCCCCACAGTGCTGCTGTGGACTCTCACCTTAGGGGAGCCTGCAAAGCAAGGGAGCTATGGCAAGGAGAGGAGCTTCAAAATGTTCATGGAAAAATCCCATTTTAATGGGCTTTTTGAAGACCCTTTTGTATATGGAAGCTAGAGTTTTCCACTACCCTTTGGTACCAAAGATTAAGTCTGAAATTTGGTTTCATATTTGGTCCTCTACGGTATTAAGAGATTAGAATAAAAGTGCTTACTGTGCTACTCCTTTTCATCAAGCATTTCCTGTTTCCCACTCAGGGTTTCGACAGTGAATTCTGTGTTTTCTACTTCCTTGGAACCTCTTCTTGGGGGCTGGGGTGGGGGTGGGGAGGGAGAAGCCCATCATCATCCGATGTGATGCTGATGAGCATGAGCAGTAATACAATGGGAAGCCATAGGATGCAGGCTTGGCCCCCAGTGTGCCCCCCGTCCGTTTCACAGGGCCTGGTCCAGGTGATCCAGGGAAGGCCACAGAGGCCTTTGTGAGATGTGATTTGTGGACCCTGACAGAGGAAGTT